CCCAAGATACTGCTGCAGAGGTGAAAAGCTTTTTAGGGTCAGAGTAGTGAGTTACCGTTTTGCAGTTGTCTACCTCTTTGGTTTGCACCAGGTTACAGAGTGATTTTTTTAAATGTATTTTTTTAATCTTTATTCCTAGTGACATCAGTGTTCTGGCAGTAACAGGAACTAATTCTGGGCATCTTTCCAGGCTGATGTCTTTGATCAGCTAATCGCCTTGATAGAACAGAGACATTCCCAGCAGAACAGAAGGTACTCAGGAGTCTTACAGATATTCACATTTTTATGTGTAGTTCATGCTAGGAAAAATTGGGCTAAGCTCTTTGAAAGGCATCATGTGAACCCTGTGTTTTGAAAGAGTAATAAGATTCGATGATGTGTAAGAAACAAATATTCAAAATTCTTAGCAAACAGTAAGTTACGTGGGAAAAGTGAAGACAGCGACTAAGGGTCCCATTTTTATTTAAGTTGAACTACTACTTCAGAAAGAAATACAGAAATGTGGGACTGAGGTGCAAGTCTTTCTTCAGGTAAAATAGATCAATAGTGAGTCTATTTTATGTCCATCCTTGGGGAAAGAGGAGCAGTTTGCATCACTGTATATTCACTCAATTTCTGTAGGTCATCTTTAATTTTGTTTATTATTTAACCCTTTTTAAAGAAAGAATAATGCAGTTTGCACAGTTTCTGGTTTCATAAATCCTGCTTTTCTGTGGGCTTTTTTTTATACCCCTGGAAGAGGTCGGTCTTAGCTGATCTCTGTTTGGACAAAAGCCATACCACTCTAAAAAAGCAGTCTTCCTTTATGGCTAGGTTGAGGTTTTAGGGATGTTCCTTATGTAGGGCCATTGCTTTATTTGCCAGCCTCCTCTAACAGTCCTTTTAAGAGCACTCTCTAATTTAACTAAGCCTTCAGGCAAGAGAAGGGCTTGGTTGGTTTGCTGGTTACCAGTGTGTGACTTGGGTAACAGCAGGCTGTGTGCAGTAGGTTGGTCTCAGTTCTACTCTAAGTGCAGGAGATTCCACAGGGCATCATCTGCATGTGGCAGCCTGGTGGAAACTTCAGTGACTGAGTATGAACATGTGCTAAGTGTTCTGTCTGAAAATAGGCCTTCCAGCTTAAAGTTCAGGATGCATCAGCAATACGGTAAAGCTCGAACTCCTCTCCCTGCTGAGAGTTTGTGGAAGACCTCATTCATGGGATAAAAGCTGTTGAAGGACTAAGTGTCATTTGAAATTTGAAAAGAAAAAATTTTAACTTTCTTCTAAAGAGCTTCAAGTATACTCTACAGTGACACAACATACTGCTAAAATGGTTTTTATACTCCTAAGAACCTCCATAGCAGTAGCTCTCGAAGATGAGTATTTTGGGGGAGACGAATCAGAAAGCTCAACAATGGATGATTTTTTAAATTTTTGAGGTTTTCTAGTGCATTTTTACCTAACTCTATAGAAATATGGACTTGTGCTGAGTCTTTGTCATGTTGTCCATTATAGTAAGTGAGCCACAAAATGAATTACCACAGTGTTCTGTGTATTCTGGATTGCTTTTCCTTGCTTTCTTACTGTAACATCGAGGTTGTAGTGTAATATATTAGCAGAAAAATGTAAAAGGTTTTGTAGTTGCACTAGGTCTCACTGGAACTCATAATCTGAAAACCATGAGGCTTTTTTGGCAGTTTTTACCTTGCACTGTCATCTCTCATCTACGACCTCATTTTCAAATTTAGTCACACAGTATGTGGAGTGATTGGTGTGGAGAAAAGGGGACATGAAGGGATTTACCGCAAACCATAAGAACTCAGTGGAGGTGAGCATATCATCAGTAAGTTGTTTTGAGAGTTTAAGGACATAGAGTAAATGAGATGGTTTTAACAACCCTATAGACTTGATACCATCGTCCTTCAGCTGGTTGCTTTGCAGGTGGACTGCACTGTGTCTGTGGCCAGCACTTTATGCTGCTGGTGGCCTAAGTGCAGAATCAAACTGCCATCAGGGTAGAGCAGTTCCCTTCAACAGAAGCATTGTTCTGTTGTTCTTCCTCTTGCCTGCCTGTGGTTTTTCATTGTGTTTTGAAAAGTGTAGAACAACAGTGTTTTACGTAGCAACATTAAGAGCATAGTTTTGCTTTCTGAAAGTGCATGTTTAAGCGTATTTCTAAAGTGTCTTTTATTTTCCTCTCTGCATTGCATTACGTGCCAATATTGGCATGTAGCAGTATGCACTGTTCAGCACTGATAAGCCCACAGCTGGAGTCCTGAGTCTGGTTTTGAGGTCCCCAGTAAAAGAGAGACATGGACATACTGGAAAGAGTGCAGCAAAGGGTCACAAGAATGATGAAGGGTTTGGAGCATCTCTCCTGTGAGAAAGGGTTGATAGAGCTGGAGCTGTTCAGCCTTCCTGGGGAGGAAAAGAACAGGGGGAAATCATCAATATATATAAATACCTGAGGGGAGGGTGCAAGGCAGACAGAGCCAGAGTTTTCTCAGTAGTGCCCTGTGACAGGTCAAGAGGCAAGGAGCACAAACTGAAACACAGGGGATTCTCTCTGAACATCAGGAAACACTTTTTCTCTGTGAGGGTGATTGAGCACTGGAACAGGCTGCCCAGAAAAGTTAGGAAGTCTCCTCATGTGTAGATCTTCAAAAACTTCCTGCACATTGTCCTGTATAACCAGCTCTAGGTGGCCCTGCTTGAGCAGCAGGAGTTGGATCAGCTGACCTCCAGATGTCCCTTCTTAAGCAACCCCAACCATTCTGTGATTCTGTAATAAATATCCTATTTATGTTCCTTGTTAAATGTCAGAATGATTTTTGTTTTCACCACCTTGGCAGCAGTAGCCAGTGGAACCTCATAACCATTTCCATAGATGGGAGAAGGATTTATCCCTATGTTTTCCTGAAAGGGGTGTCTCATCCTGATACTCATGCTAGAGTAGTTGGGAAAGATAATATTTACTCTAGCCCCCCCTTTCTGAAAGGAGACTCGTGACTTGTTTATGGAGTACAGCACCAGCTAATACTGTCCTGGAGCAGAGTGTCTCTCTCACCCCGCAGGCAGAAAGTATTTGAATGGCCTTGAGGTTATTTGCCTCAATTCTGCATTTAACCTGTGGTCAGCTGCAAGAATGGAGGCCAAAGAGGAAATGTTTCAATGGAGCAGGTTGCTTCTGTCAAACTAGGCAGAAGTTCTTCTTTGAGACCTTTAGTCAGGGCTATAGGGAAGTTGTGACAGTGATTTGGGTGCTGATGCTATTTGACCATACAGCCCAAGCAATAGACTTGTCTGACAGGTCCTAATTGTACTTTTAACATACGTTGAGGAGTTAACAGCTCACATAAGCAGTATTCACTCCAAGGGTTTAAAAAGGGCTGTTAGGCATCAAAGTGCTACTCTGAAGATAGAGACTTAATTTTTGAATGAGTCACACAAACACTGTGCTAACATGCTAAGCAGCGAAGGAAAAACATCATTAATCCCGTTTATAACATGGAGTTTTGCCATGGAGCCTGGGAAAGAGGTTTTTGCAACAGTCCTATCTTTGAAGAAACTCTCTGAGCCCCCTCTCTAGGGTTCAGCCTGGCCCTCCACCCACTCTAATCAACAAACTGCTTATAAGCCAGTGTATACTAAGTGTAGTTGGAACGTGCCTAGGCAAGAAGTGCAAAGCTAGTTGGTAAGTGTTCATAACCACTGTTGTGGTTGTGAATAAATAAATGCCCTCGTTGTAAACCATCCCAGTTTTGAATTCTCACATGTAGGCCTTCCAGAAAATAATACTCTTCACTTAGTCCAGCAGGTGCTTGTGTAAGAGCTGTGTTGGTGAAGCTGGGGAATAATTAAGTATCAGAAACTAAGCAACAATTAAGAACTTTCACAGGCAATTGAGATCAGACAAACAGCTTGCCTTTAGTACAAGAGTGTTTTTTCCAAAACAGATCTGTCCCTGACTACTTGGTTTTGATGGTGTTGACCAGTTGAGAAAGTACTTGTAGGAAATAAGCCTGAGAGTCAAAATGCACATTTCTTCTGGAAACCAAATACCATGGATTCAGCAGAGGGACAAACAAAGTGGGAATCTGCAAGTTCCCTAACTCCCCTGTTCGCACTAAGCCATGCCTGTTTCATGTGTGTCATTTTATTTTGCTCCATCTCAAGAACGACTTGGTCACTTTGGTGCTTTTTGCTGTGCGTCTTTGTGCTCTGTGAGCTGATACTGCTTGAACCTCCTTGGCCTGTGTTTCAGGTTCGAAGAAGAATCTAGATGCATGAAAGCTAATCTTGCTATTCTCTGACAGTATTATTTGAGCTAACAACGTAGTGTTTTTCAACAAACCTTCAGTATCACTATTATAATTTATCGTTACAGCACTCTCATAAAATACAGACCTTTTAAAAATCTGTCCACTAAGGAAATTGAGCTGTTAGACAGTATTTTCCTTTTTTGAATCTGCACATTGTGTCAGTGTGCTTCTGTTTATATTTCCAAATATGTCTGAGATCTAGTAATAATCCATTATTTACCCATTTTTACATTTGGGTGATTGTCTTTAAATTGCTAACGTTTAATACTTGTCAAGATGGCAGTTGAACAACATTTCTCCTCAAGTAAATGTGACAAAAAAGTCCTTTATTATGTATTACAATTTTATTTATGTCAATATTTTAATCTTTGGATTAAGTTCCGGGGGGGGGGGGGTGAGTATAAAGAAACACTGTAAGAAAACAGTTGCCTTAAGGCCAGGAAGAGTTGTGCTGGCTGTCTGGATGCCTGGGAGTAAGATGCTGTGGGGCATAAACAGTTTCAGGAAATGGGAATGCTTTCCCATTTGTAAAATAGGGGTTGACTTAATTCTTAAATAAAAGTGCAGTAAAATAATTGTGTGGATGTTGAGTGATTCAGAAGGAGGAGGGAAAGGGATAAATGAATTAAATTAATATTTAAAGTAATTATTCTTTTGATCTGCTGATCAGTTTATTAATAATTTGTATTTAACTAGGTGGTTGAATCCTTTATTTATTACTGGCCATAAACGGAAGCTTGAAGAAGATGATATGTATAAAGTGCTGCCAGAAGATTCCTCAAAGAAGCTTGGAGAGGAATTGCAGTGGTAAGGAGAAAAATCATAGAATAGTTTGGGTTGGAAAGGACAGTTGTTCTCTTCCATTATATTTCTTCTGGTGAAGGTGAGAGTCTTACTTCTATTCTAAAATTAAAAGAGGTTGTTGTAAAATTTAACAAGGTTAAAAATGCTGAAGACTTAAGAGTAATAAGAAGTAAGAGAACTTGTTTACCATAGAAGCTTTTCAGTTTTTTTCAAGTTACACATAATGGAAGTATATTAGAGTATTTCCATTGTATAGTTTATAATCAGTTTGATAATTTGCAGAATTATTGGAAAAGAAGACTTCTCATCAACTGTTACTGCAGTAATTCTTAATAAATTGGTGTGAGTCTTCTTGTCTGTGCTAAAATACCTGTGGAAACTTTTTAAATTGCTATGTATAAAAGTGGGTAAAAAGAGTTTTAGGTTGTTTTTTTCTTTGTTATTTTTGGGTTTGAATGCAAACTGAATTGACAACTTTGTACCCTTTATATATGTGTGCATATAGATATATTGACAATACGCCACTCACTTGTAAAGTGGATAAAATGCCTTGAACAGTGAAAAACTTGCATCTAGGAAGTGTCTTTATTTTGTTTTAAATACATTTTCTTGGGCTGTGTACTAATTCATGTTGTTACAAACCCAGGAGGTTCTGCCGTTTTATTTTAAGTGAAATATCTTCAAAGGGTAGCTGTTTATGCAAATTGAACTATGCAACAGATAAGGTTTTTGTCTTCAGATAATGTTTAGTTAAATATAATTAGAGGAAGAGGTGTCTGCTAATAAAAGGTGGCCTGTATATTAGGAAAGTGTGGCCTTGTTTTTTCTTGCCTTTATACTGAAATGAAAGTAAATCGACTTTGATCCTCACAGTTTCATGGGGCTGAGAGACTCTTTAAGAAGTAGAAAGAATCCAGAAATGAAAGGTTTTGACTGGGTCTTATGTTGTCCTGTTCTGGATGAGTTAACTGAAGAAAGAGGGTAGATGATAAGCTCGTAGGAGTTGCTGTTTTTAATGTCTTTGTAGCTGGAGGGCTTTGCCAGATTCCTTGTTTGTGTCTTCAGGGAGTTTGCTGTAGGGGAAGATGCACTCTTTCCAATGATTCTTGCAGTAAAAGCACACACTTTCCATGAGTCAGCAAATGGTAGGAAATATGGCACATAGGAAAAACAAAAAGGTGTTCTTTAATTATTTAGTGTACTTGGCCAAGAAGCAGAGAATATAATTCATAAATTTGAGCCAATAAACCCCATAGAATCTACAGTTTTGTTTCTGATTCTGAGGCATTTAGACAATAACTCTGTAATCCTTGTAACAAAAAAAAAGAGGGTAAACATAGAAAAAATTTTCTTATCTGTATGCTTTGAACTTATGTGCTTTGTTGCAAAATAATTGGCTTTCATGCCTTAGACTCATTTCAGCCCTCAAAACTGTCAAGGTCAGAGGGTTGGCAGAATATATTTAGCCTCTGGAAGAAAGGGGGAGCATCCTGTCTGAGAGCAGTGTGTTTTAAGAAATCTGCATAAATTCTGATACTTTCTTGTTAATGTCATGCTTGTTATTACTGTCTTTGATTTTCATGTGAGCGGATTGTGTCCTGGTTGTGGGCAGATGTGGTAATTCAGAGGTCTTTGCCACTCTGCTGATGTAATCCTTGCCTTCAGAGGGATGTGAGGAGTGTTAGGTGACAAAATTCCGTATCTTCTCATCCTCATTGAATCATGTGGTTGAAGAAAGAAAGGGACAGACATGAGAAAGGGTTGTGCATCACAACGTTTCTGGAGAAGGGCAGAGCTTATAGGAAGATTAAGGCACTCTATACTGCCTTGGTTTAATCCATAATCAGAAGATCATATGATAATAGGCTCTTAAGTAAGGCGAGTGACTTTTGCAGTGAGAGAAGAAAAAAAGAAAGGTCTCCTCATCAGCAAATGTTTCCAGGTGATAATAGTTAACAGTGGTGAATTGCTTGTGATTAACCAAGAGCAAATAGACCTATAATACTAAGTACTAAGCGTTTATGTGAATGAGAAGACATGACTGTTAACTCCTTTTTTTTTTTTTATTTGGTTGTATAAAGCTGACCATGGCAATCTGGCTGTAAATCAGAAAATATTTTATTCTAGGTAATTGCCTTGTGATTTCCCTTCTGTCCTCCAGTATGTTTGTGCTTTGTTTGCCAGGTACTGGGATAAAGAGGTGCAAAAAGCAAAGAAGAGGGGAAAAATGCCGCATTTAACAAAAGCCATTATTCTTTGTTACTGGAAGTCCTATTTAGTTCTTGGAGCTTTCACAATGATTGAGGTAAGTGGTGTGAAATGCCACGGAGCATACTTCATGGCTTACAGCAATGTGAAACTTGGCGGCCTAGATTGGAGCTGTACTGTTCAGAAAACCTGGTAATGTTCATGTACTTAATCTCTTAGAGGGGTAAAACAGAACTGTACCCCTGTAGACACTGAAAAATTGAGTCATAACTGCAGGATTGTGGATATGCAACAGCTGATTTCAGTGCATTATTTTTGAGGCATTGCAAGTCACTGACTTAACTGTATTTTATGTATCTGAGGGAGGTGCCCAATAAAAGGGGGTTCTTTGCTCTATGTAAATGGCTGTAAAGGACACACTGTCATCTTTAAAAATGGAAGTGTAATACACAGTCATGCAATTTTTATAGCATCAAAGGTTTTTTTTGTAATTGAGATAGGTCTCTTTAAGGTTGCAGCTAAATTTTAATGTGGAACATATTTCTTTTTGGATTATGTATTGATAAAATTTGGCGTGACATTTAGAGCACAATGAAGACAAAATAATAAGGGATATGACTTGTGGCAGTATTTGGCACTCATTTGCCTGCTTACAAAAACTTGGATAGCGTGGTGTGATATGAAATTATTAATACTTTTCCCCCCTTCTTTTTCTTTCAGGAAACCATCAAAATAGTTCAACCAATTTTTTTGGGAAAAATTATTAATTATTTTGAAACCTATGATTCCTCAGATGAGGTAGCTTTGAATTTTGCATATTGCTACGCAGCTGCTCTGTCTGTGTGCACACTTATTCTAGCTATAATGCACCACTTGTACTTCTATCACGTACAGCGGGCTGGCATGAAGCTGAGGGTAGCCATGTGTCATATGATTTATCGGAAGGTAAGCAAACCTGTTTAGACATATAATTTGATATTCGACAGCTATTTCATCAGGGGAGTTAAAAAATGCAGTTATTTGTTGTGTTGATGGTTGCAATTCCATTGAAGTTACTCATTTGTAGAAATGTAATGCACGTTTACACTTGTCGGGCCTTACACTCTCTTGGGTACCATGGTGTCTGAACGACAGTTTCAGTCTTGCTAGTGAAGGTGGTGAATTAAATAGCACTAAAGTCTTGGAGGAGGTGCCTTTTTATTCCTGCTGGTGTTGTTGAAGAGGACAGAATTGTTTGTGGAAGGGATATGAGCTGGAGCTCTAAGAGTCATCAGCATACAGCAGGAGAGGGGCAGAGCTCCCAGGGAATGCTGGCAGTTACACATCCTTGCAGTTTGATCCCGAGGGGGCAGTTATGCTTGGATGTCACCATCTGCTACAGCACTCTCAGTTGCCTGAGAATTGCTTCACTGTCCAGTTTTCCACCCCCCCCAATTGTGGTTGATGGCCAGATTTATTTATATTTTATTCCATCAGTGCAGTAGAATTAGTATGTTGGCTCCTTTGCAGGTCAGAGTCTGCCCCCTCCCTTGGGGCATCCATCAGGTGTGCTTGGGGAGCAGCAGCAGTTTTGTGGGACAGCTGCTTCACCCTCCAGGCTGGCAGGAATGCTCGGCATCTTTACCTTTAGTAACCCTCCTGTTTAGGGGAAAAGAGAGAGAGAAGCAGGTAGAGGAGACATGGTTAAGAATCAAGCTGAATCCTAAAGGTAGGGTAGAGCCATTTTTTAGTATAATATACTGATTTTACTGTGGGAGTACTGCAGACCTCCATTAAAACCAGTGAAATCTGAGAAGGGATGTATGTTCAGTGAGCATTGGTTTCTTTGCTGTCTGTGTGTCCTGATCAAGAAATATTTTTTCTCAGCTACAGCAGGAGTCAAGGCTGCTGTCAGAGAGAAAGTGGAACAAGAGAAGTAATGAGTATTACCTGCAGGAAGGAGTTGACCGATATGCGATATGAAATGCTCTCCTTGATGAGAGAGCAAAAATCTCTGCTGGCAGTGCTGACAGAGAAAATACCCTATGTTTCCAGTGATAGTGCTGCTAGAATAGTGGCCTACAAGTTCTTACTTCAGCAAAAAGCTTAATTGAAGGGATCAGAACTATACAGTTTCTTTGGAATGTAAAGAAATCCATGTTAATTTTAACCATTAAACATAGGTACCACTCACTTAAGACAAACACTTGTACTATTTGTGTAGGTCGTGTGAAGTTTTTGGGCAAAGCAATAGAGTGAGGAGAGAGAAAATGTCTGCATTGTAAGTGGTGCTTGTTTTTCATGCACTCATTTATTCTCCTCCCCCTTCTGATACCGTGATCCTCTGGGAACTTGGCTCTAACATGGCACACTGATTTCTTGTACATAAACATCTCTCTAAGGTATTAATTTACTAAACTGGTTATCAAAACAATTTGAAATTCATGAAAATATATATATTGATGTTGTTTGTTGTGTAGATACTAGCTTAGAAGCTTGGAAAAGAAATGTTTGTAATATACACCCTTATTTCTAGAGATGGGATTCAATGGAGAATTAGTCTCCCCTCATCTCATTAATGTTTGCTCCTTAGGGTGAAGGCTGAGGTCACAGCAGAACATTGATAAATCTCTCTAATGATTTGTCTTCATTATCTGCAGCTTATAGATAGGTAATACTTTCGCTTTATCCTCCTACAGGCTTTTGAAATAACTTGGATGCCAATTTACCAGCACTTTTGCAGAGTTGGTTAATTGCTGTAGTAAATAATATCTTGGATTTGCAAGAATGAATAGGCTGGATAAGAGAGCATCCTTAGTGGAGAATTTCAAATGCTCATAATTCTTAAGTTTTAGATCCTTTTTTGTTTCCTGGAAAGTTAAAATCTAATTTGCAAAAGCCTTGTATTCAAACTCCTAAGATGTTTTGTGACTGGTAAACAGTATTAGTGATGCACGTAGGGAGCTTGTAACAAAAATTAAAATGAAATCTGTCCCATGACTCACAGTCTTAAGTTTTGAAACCAAAGCCGACTTATGGGAAGCTGGTTTTTGTTGCGTTTTTTTTTTTAAGACTTAACTTTCAGAAGTTCTTTGAGGTCAGTGTACTGACTTTGGCTGGGATAGAGTTAATTTTCCTCAGCTCATATAGGGCTGTATTTTGGATGTAGTAGAAAGGGGAAGGTACCAAAACAGGATTGTTTGATAGAAATTGGTTTTGTAAATAAAACTGCTGCTTTGTGTTCGATGGTTCCATTTCTTTCTGTATACTTTGCAGTCTAGACAGGTTCATTCAGCCAGGAAAATGTAAAGCTTATTTCACTTGAAAAAAAGAAAAAAGAATCAAAAACAAGAAGGGAGGCAAGGAAAGACTCAAATTGCACTGTGGCTGACAGTGGGAATGCTGTCTCTTCCCTGAGAAGACAAATGGGTCAGAGATGAGCACCCTCCTTTTGGCTCAGGTGCTTGCGTGGTTCTTCCTGAGACCGTCTTTGTCAAAAGGAACTGGACTCATAAGAATCATACTGAAACTGTTTTTGCTGCCTGTGTCTGAAACAGCTAGGAAGAAGTCAGAGAGGTGATTTGGGTGGCAGGTCCAACACAGACCCAGGCCATGAGCCTCTAGCAAGACACCAGTGCGGTCTTCCCTGATGGCTCAGGTGAACCTCAGCAGATACAGTTGTAAAGGAGGTGCTGTAAACACGTCCTGGTGGGCAAGTTCTTCAAACATGCATCATGTGAACTCCTGTTATTATGGTCTGTGGATATCTAACAGATTTTCTCAGAGTTTATCAACCTTGATCTGTGGTGTTGAGTAAACACTATAGAAATATGGCTGTGCTGTGGCTGGGGAATTTCAGGTATATCAGAGACGTGGCTTAAGATGGGGAATGAAGCAATCATTTTCTCAAATAACTAAATCATCTTTAATCTACCCAGTATCCTAGATTTGTTATTGGAATATCAAAGGAATTTCTTAGTGGAGTTTTAAAAGTTTCTGCCTGCTGGTTTCAATGAAGTTAGATTGAGATTCTCTCTGATTAACAGTACTATTCTAACACAAGAGTGAGGTGCAAGAAGTGTAAGGCACTTCATTTGAAATGATGCTTTGAATAGTACTTTGATGACTGATGTTCTTCCACCTGTTTCAGAATTCTGGAACAGTGTTTTTTAAGCAGTTAGTGCTTTTCAGGTTTGATTATTGATCAAAAAGGAATCCTAATAATAACTGTTTGGAGGGGGAGAAGTAGATGTCCACTGCCTAAAAATGCAAAGTCTTTTTGAGGAGGAAACTATTCCTGTAGAGAAAAACATGCAGTGTGTTTTGTATATTTTTTGAACTTGTGCTACAAACATGTTTTCCTTCTAGCGGGTGTAGAAAGAAGCAGGGTGTGTTATCAGTATTTTTGAGCAATTTCAGTTTGGATCTTTGCAGTAATATCAAACTCTGTATTTCCAGACTTGTTTTTTTGGAGGGGTATTTTATAAATACATACTATTTTCTACTGATTAGCTTATTTATCAACTTATAAAAATATTTGATATTTAATCTTGTTGCTTTTCATAGCATGTGCTAACCTTATTTTATATAATTCAGAAATGTTGTTGCAAGTGTTATTAACAAGGGAAATAGTAATTTGTAAGGGGATATTAAATCTGATTTACAAAGAAAGCACTGTTTGCAGCGTTAGCAAGAACTGATAGTGTAAAATGAATGACTTGGGTTTTTTTTGCCTTCTCTCAGATCTTGTTCAAAACAGAATTCTTGCAATTGGCCAAACAGTGTTCTGATTTTAATTTGACCTTCAGATGGAGTTTTCTGTTCCTATTTTGTACAGATAACTCATACTGAGGGGGAAAACAATGCACACAGAAAGTTAGACATTCTTTTGCTTAGTTTTAATGACTTGCTATGTCGATATTTTCCCATTTTTAATCACTTCAGAATGAAGGTAGTTATGGCACTTCTCACAGTCATTTTTTTAATACTCTTTTCTTCAGGACTTTGTTCAGAATATGTCACCTAACGCACACGTTATCTAAAGTTTTTACTGTGCCTCAATACTTTCAGGCAAAAGCTGAGATGCACCTTCAGCTTTTGGCCCGGTATTGTATTTGTGTATTGAGTCTTTGGTGTATAGGTGTACAGTGCTCTATAAACTGTAACAATCTGGTACTGTTTTGACTTTTTTAGGCGCTTCGTCTTAGTAATGTAGCTATGGCAAAAACTACTACTGGTCAAATAGTAAATCTTCTGTCAAATGATGTGAACAAATTTGATCAGGTAAGAAGTATTACAGATTTTTTCAGTGGGCTGAAGAAATTGTGGGGTTGGAGTTAAGGAATTTTTGTTCACAACTGATGCTTGAATGTTTCTAATGAACATTTCTTCTAGTTGTGTCTTGCACGTAGAATGTTTTGGGTTGGAAGAGACCTTAAAGATCATATAGTTCCAGCCTCGCTGCCATGGGCAGGGACATCTTCCACTAGACAGGTTGCTCAAAGGCCCATCTAGCTTGTCTTTCAACATTGCCAAGGGTTGGGATATCCACAGCTTCACTGAGCAACCTGTTCCAGTGCCTCACCATCCCCACAGTGAAGAACTTCTTTCTAATCTAAACCTACTTTCCGTGAGGTTAAAACTATTCCCCTTTGTCCTATCACTCACTACATGTGCTTTTAAAAAGTCCCTCTCCAGCTCTCCTGTCGGCCCCCTTTAGGTACTGGAAGGCTGATATGAGGTCTCCCCAGAGCCTTCTCTTCTCCAGGCTGAACAACCCCGAACTCTCTCAGCCTGTGTTCACAGGAGAGGTGTTCCCACCCTCTGATTATCTTTGTGGCCCTCCTCTGGACTTGCTTCAGCAGGTCCATGTCCATCAGTGCTGGATGCAGTACTCCAGGTAGGGAGAGTCACCTCCCTTGACCTGCTGGCAGCGCTTCTTCTTATGCAGCCCAGGACATGCTTGGCTTTCTGGGCTGCAGGCACACACTGCCAGCCTGTGTTAAACTTCTCATCCACCAGCACCCCAAGTCCTTCTCGCCAGGGTAGCTTTCAATACGTTTTCCACCCAGCCTGTATTTATGCTTGGGATTACTCCAGCCCAGATATAGGACCTTGCGCTTCCTTGTTGAATTCCAAGGTTTGCATGGGCCCACCTCTCAAGACTCTTCTGGATGGCATCGTAGGAATGCCATCCTTAAATTTCCTTTAATATGGGAGAAAAACATGCCTTTTTTTCTCTCCTTAAATATCCTGCTGTTTTTCTAAACTGAGAGAAATTTTAATGACAAACGTAAAACAAAATCAGCATTTGTTTACTCTCTGTACAGCTGAATGTACATTTAGGTCTCTGAATCTGATGCAGAATTCTCGCTGAATGCAAAAATGCTTCCTCATTGTTACTAGGGTTAAATTTCTTAGCTAAGACCAAAAGCTAACATGTGATTCTTAACTATTTGTCTAGGTAACAATTTTCTTGCACTTCTTGTGGGCTGGACCAATTCAAGCTGTAGCAGTAACAGCACTTCTCTGGATGGAAATAGGCCCATCATGTCTTGCAGGAATGGCAGTTCTGATTATTCTTCTTCCTGTCCAGACCTGCATTGGGAGGCTTTTTTCTTCCCTCAGGTAAGGCTGCATATCTTGGTTTGTAGGTATTTTCTGTTACAGGTTTAAAAATATTCGTGCTGGATGGAGGTGGAGTACTGCTGTGAGATCAGCTTGTGTCTGGTGATGATTTTTGCATTGTCTTTTATCTTTGCCAATGTTTTTTTATAGTTGCTGATACGAGATGTCTGAATTCCTGTTTATGGTCTGTCTGCCAAACATGCAGAGAATATCTGCTACTCATTAGATGTCCAATACATTAAAAGAGTCGGGCTATTTCTGTAGCTACCTTACCCTAGGTCTTGGCATAGAATTGTGTAACTCCTTCCTGCAGCGGTGCTTAGGGAGTGCTTACTTGCAGAGGCAATACTATCAGCCCTGCTCTACATTTGACTTACTGGGGTGATACAAGAGTTGCAGCAGAAAGCTCTGAAAGTTTTGTGTTCAGATCTTACTGTCTTTCCTTCATGACAAAGGTGCTGAGAGAAAAATGGAGAAGGAACTTAGAGAGGAATTAAAAATTGTGATGGTAGTTTTGATGCCAGTATTAGGCTTCTGACTGTAAGGTTCTAGGCTGTGAAGAGTTTGCAGTAATTTTCCATTATCAGACAAATTTGTTTTCTGTGACTTTGTCCTTAAAAAAAAAAAAAAAAAAAAAAAAAAAAGACTTGTCTGAGATGGGCCTGTTGAGGCAAATTCTTGCCTAGAAGTTTTCTGTTTCTTATATAATTATGCTCTACTTACAAAATGAGTTTATAAATGGCCTTTGCATCTTAATGGAAATATTTTTGCGTTCCTTTACTGTGTACACGTATGCTTACAAGCGTTATGCATCTTTATTTGCAATCTTTGCTGAATGGGTTCCTTCTAGCTCTTCTGATAAGTAAAGCTTATTTTAGTGAGTTACTGTTGTTTTCTAGTTGTATTTCATGGTAAGTTTCCCAGACCTATTGAGTATGGCATTGCCATTGCATGGCTGGGTATGAAGAGAGAACTGAGAATTACAGAATGAAGCCAACTCATAGAACTCCATCTATTTGCAACCAGTGTGGTAGTCTTCAGTCATTCTGAAGACAGTTCATGTGCTATTTCCAAAGTAATGTTCGTATGCTGTTTCTCAAATAATGATTCATTCAGTTTTCTCTGTCAAATTCTTAGGTTTTTTTTTAAATGATGAAACCTGTTTGTAGAACACTTGCCATATATTCTTAGGTGTACATTTTCACTGCATGTGCAATATGCATGCATGAGGATCAAGCTAATTCACTGTTGGTGGTTTTTTTAGTTTAGGTTTCTCAGGTTTTGAGGTTTGGGTCAGTAGTTAAAATACTTAGTGCTTAGCTAGTTCCTTATCCATGGTGGTAAGCATTAATATCTCCAATCTACATATGGGAAACTGAGGCACAGAGAGAGTAAGGGACTTGTCCAGGGCCAGGCAACTGGGTGACAAAAATCTCTCTCTTAAAGGTACGTATTTTAAAAATTAGTCAGTGGCAATGTAATGTTGTTTTGGGGTTTTTTACCCATGGCCACTCGTTTGGATGCAGTGCAAAGAAAATAATTCGTTAACTAGAAGAACTTTTGCTGATCTCCATGTGCACAGATCTTTGTGAGCAGAAATGTGATGTGAGCAGAAGGGGTTAATGGTAAAACTGGAATAGATTTCAGCTCTGTGTAATGATGAGTGTTTTCACATGGCAGTTGCTGGGAATCTGCATGGATTTAAGGAAATCAGCCTATGAAGAAGTAATTTAAGGATTAAAGCTTTTGCTAAAATCCAAGCACGCTCGGTGTGGCAGCTAATTTGCGCTATTATTCAGCACTGTACTTATGACTCAGTCTTGTAAGCACATATGCACACCAGTTCATGATGCAGGCATTGGCTGCAGTGCTGGAGGAGTTTGCAGAAATGGACTCAGTATCCTGTGGAATGGTATACACTGTAATCTGCAGGATTGCTTTTACTTGCACAAGTATTGGAAGTTTTGCAAAATACATGACCTAATACATTATTTGAGAAATAGTTCAGTCATTGCACTGAAGACCACTTACATATATTTATTCCCAAGTGCTCAATTCCTTTTACTGCTTAGCCATCCAACTGTAAAAGTCTCATTTAAAGTCCTTACAATTATGAAGAGAAACACTATATGTAACTGTTGTGTCAGACATGATTAAAACCGCCTCATGAAAACAAAAAGGAATTTTTGCAGCTTGCTTAATGTAGAATGCTTATGAGTATTATAGAGGGAACTTCTCAGACAGTTGAAGAATTTTTAGGTCCTTTCCTGTTGCACTCTTATCATGCTGTGTGAGCATGGGTTTTGCAGTCAGACTGATCTGCATGTACTCTAAACTTAATATTTTTAAAACTGGGGAAGTGACTTCCTCTGCTGTAAGTTAACTGTCAGTGCACTGGATGTCTGTGTACTTGAAGCCATTATATAATATCACTGATCCTGTGGCTTCCAGTATGTATGTACAAAATATGCTTATTGCAGTGTAGGGGAGTGTAACTTTAAAAAAAAAAAAGAAAAATAGCACCCCTGCCCCAACCTCTTGAACATTTTAAAGGAATTTGAAAGGGGATTGTTAAACTATGATAACACTTCAGCAGGAAAACTGAAAAATTGGTTTATGAGAACTATAGCCTTTTTGATTAAAAAAAGAAACTTCAGTTAACTTTATTATTTTGAACCATCTTCAACCTTCTGTTGTCTGGGACCAAACCTGGAAGTTAAGTGACTTTCAATAGACTGTAGGTGAGAATTTCTGTTTGCTGCTGCAGAGACATGAACAATACATGCTAAATTTTGCCTTTTACAGTGGTGATGTGTGTATGGGGAAGAAATACTGAGCTCTTACGCTCTCTGAGGAATTGTTTTTCTTCTGCTGTTTATTTTCGAAAGAGCAAAAGATGAAGTAGCAAAGATAATCTTGTTCCATCTCAATGGTTTAGGCTAAGTAATCTTCCTCTGTGTTAATAAGAGTCCTTGATAGTGTTAGAGCTAAGTTTCTACATTCCTTTTCTCAGCTTTCTTGAATAAATATTTTTTAATACCCTGCTTCAGCCATCCTAACATTTATGGAACGCTGGTGCTGAGAAATTTTTTTAATATGACGAGTAGGTGCTTGAAATTCTTTCTAGTTATGTTTTTTAAATATGGCTATTTCTTCGCTATTTCTTCCAGAGATTTCTATCTAAGAAATCTTATAGGGGGCGGTTAGGTTGACAAAGTCCAGTTGCCTCTTCTAAAGAGACTTTTTTTTTTAAATGCTCTTTGAATCTTAACTTTCATTGGTATATGCAAAAATAAGTAATTTAGCACATAAAAGTGTGTTTTATCAAAATAAGGTCTACCATAGCTGACTATGTGCAAAGTATGTTTGTCTACATGAATGAATTCAGAATTGTTATAGGCTCTATTGGCATGATTTATGCATTCATTACGTGGCTTCTAACTTTCAGTACTTCTTTTCCTAATTAGAACTGTGACTTTATTATTTAATTATATATATTTTCCAGTTTGCTCATCAATGCAAACATAATGTGGGATTCAAATAGATATATTTACATTAGTGTTATTACAATTAATGATTAAATAATAATTATTTGTTAAACAAAACCATATTTAGATTATCTCTAATAAATTATAGCTCATGTACTAAGTAATCTCTGTTTCAACTAGAGTTAATGCTAAAAAGACACAAATGAGGCCAGTTTCTTTAACAAATCAAAAGAGCCTTGTGAGAAGGGTGGTTGTTTTGGCATTTTGAAATCTTCTGTTTTAAAATAATTTTCCGATTTTTGTTTAGTTCTGATAGTTGTGAATGTTTTAATTTGAGGCTTTTTTGGTACACAAAGATGTTGTTTAAAGAATACCATGTGTTTGCACAAGTTGACATATAATTCTGAACATAGAATCACTTCACAGTTTCCTGAGAACAGGTAATACCAGGAATACAAACATTCCAAGTCTGTCTGTGTGTTAGCTTTAAGATACTGTTTTAGGAAGACCCTTTAATGCAGTTACAATTATGTGAAACGTCTTTACGTGTAAAAGCAAAAACTTCATGTGTATGAGTATGTTGCATGATCATAAATTGTCTTCTTTAGGGAATCTGAAATTTTTTCCTTTGTGCTGTTTCCAGAAGCAAGACAGCTGCCTTAACAGATGTCAGGATTAGGACCATGAATGAAGTGATAAGTGGTATGAAGATAATAAAGATGTATGCTTGGGAAAAGTCATTTGCGGAACTTGTGAGTGGTTTAAGAAGGTAATCCTGGAAAGATACAGCTTGGTATATGACCAGTGTCAGTTGCCATTTTTTTTTACATTTGAATAAGTGTGTTATTTTGTGTTTTAAAATGCAGTTTGCTTAAAAGTCTTGGGATTTATTTTTTTTATATATATAGCAAGAGTGGAGGAATGAAAATACATTCTAAGGGGATAAAAAAATTAATAAAACCCTCCAAACCTTGGTATTTATAAATTCTGGGGTTTTTATACTTCATTTTATGGTTGTGTTTAAAAACAGCAACTAATAAACTGTAGTCGTCGTAATGCAACAATTTCATCCTCACTGATAGCAAGGAACCTATAAGGAGACATTTCCTTTTTTAGAAATATATGGAATCTGACTTTCTGTCCCAGATGATAGCATCCTAATGTACTACTCTGCTTCCTTTTCTGTGTTTTAAGTACTGCTAGAAAGCTGTCTGGGAAAGGTGAAGGGAAGTAAGGCAGCAGATCAGAACTTCCGTAGGCGTTCAACTGGCAAGGCCAGCTGAGTTTGGTATCCTAAGACATTTCATTTCAGAGGTCCATTCGCATCAGATTGAAACATATTAATAAATTTGATTTTTAATCAATATTTGCCTTTTTACTTAACACTGTAAGAGCATTCATTGCGAAAGGATAACTGTAGGAGTTTGGGTCCATATTTTTCTCATAACTTAATTTTCATGTTGTGTCCTTCTCCAGCATGTAAATAGAAGGTTGTTAACTTGCTGTAGATTATCTGATTTTTTTTTTAATTTGTTTTATTTGGAATTCATTTGCTTTAAAGAATTTTTTTTCCTTTCTATCCATTTGCAGGAAATCTCTCCCTGAAATTTCTTTTCATGCACATAATCTTTTCCCCTGTTAGATTATAGGATACTGTGCCGATTGAATGTTCATGATTGATGGAAAGGTTTGGTGTCTGGCAGGGAGCCAGAGAGGATATTTCTTTATTGAAAGCTTCCTCAATGGGCGTTTTCCCACCCCTAAATTTCAGGTTTCCAAGTTTTAACACCTCGTTAGGATTAGAGGCTTCCTTTTTAATGATGGAGAAAAACAAGCTTTTGCAGAACACATCTTTGAGCCTTCTTTCTTTTCTTTAACTGTGCTTTGAAAAACTGTAGTTAAAAGTCTTGAATTTAGCCAGGTGATTTATTGCTCAGTAGTTCCACAGTGCCCCTTGACAGTGGCTAGGATGACAACTGAACTCCTCCTTTGCTCTTTTTTCCTATGTCTGTTCATACTAATTTCCTTTTATAATAACTTCGTGCCTTAAGAGAGTGTAATATATTATATGCAGCCTGTGATTAGGCTGTAACTTGTCTGATACTTATTGAGAGTAGCACAAAAAACTTACCAATTGTCCACAGATAATGAGAGGATTATTAAGGATTATTAAAGGGTGGGAAAAGATTTTCATCCAGAGTTGTAGAAGTAATTGAATTAGACCCAATTCAAATAGTTTACATACAAATGTTTTTTTCTCTGTACTCTGGAGATCAGAGATTGTGAACCCTTAAGATGAAAAAGTAAGCCTTTGAAACTCTTTGAAAGTCTCTCAGTTCAGCCAATTTGGCGACTGTAGTGGGAGAATTGCTTAACTTTCAGTAACCCATCCTGTGTCCTTTTCTTCATCAAGTGAGCACTTAATTTCCTTCAAATTGTATAATCCCAATTATAGTTTCTAATCTCAATCCAAGTGGAAGGTGATCAAAATGATCAAGATTTTCCCTGAGAATAGTCAGATTATTTGGAAAGAGAAATTAAGGAATTCTTTCAGGACTTTGATATTATTTCAACCAGACAAAAAGAGAATATATGAGGAAGGAGCAAGTTGTCATGGCTCTCTTGATAAAGGAAAATGATTATTTTAATAAGGAGTTGAGCCTGATAGCATCATGTTGTAGTGGATGATGGTGCAGTAACATCTTGGGAATTGGACTTGATTTTTTAGAAATATTAGAAATGGAAACTGCAATTTAACTGAAGTGGAAATTGAGAACTTACGCATCAACAGCTCTTCAGTTGCTGGAGGGAGATCTATGTGTCTGAACAGTGCTTCAGTCACTGTTTAGCTTGGGCAATGACTGGCAGAACAATTGGCCTCACAGATCAGTATTTTCTTAATTTATGAACTAGAGTTCCTAGACCAGAAGAAGCCAGGAGCATGGTCCAAACTGGGAAGGATTTAGACTGAGATGAAAGGAAATAATCTGAATTCTGTGATCCAGTTTGAGGATCAGCAGCTGAATAACGACAGATACTTGGGTTATGGGCAAAACTCTTGATCTTTTGGAAGTTGCCCTTTTTTTTCCAACTGCAGAGTATATGTTGGTCTTGTCATGAGTTTTGTGACTAAACTCTACTGGATTTTGATATTGGAAGGATAAGAAGTTTGTGGGTGCTTAGCTTTTATACAGGTTTTTTTTTTCCTCTTTGCTATTGTACGTAGCCCAGAAATATTTGAAGCAGATTAGAATCTGAGCTAAAAGACTAGTTTGACTAAAGCAGAAAAAAATAGTACAGCGGTTTTCTCTCTCTGAAATATATTTTCTATATTTTCTATTTCTGTATATTAAAATATTAAATATAATAAACTTCCCCACTAAGTTTCTAAGCCTCTTACGTTCCTTTTTTTCGGTTGCTATTTACCATATAATGTGGTTTCTTCACAGTTCTTTACTTATGAGTTGGGGTGGTGCAACAGGAGGAGAAAGGATATGAAAGTAAAATCCTGAGGGGGTAGTTTCCCTCATCCGATCGTTGAGGGCAACAGCGATGAGAGAGATTGATGTGATTGTTTATATTTTGCATTTTTAGGAAGGAGATCTCCATGGTTATGAAAAGCTCCTACCTTCGTGGACTGAACTTGGCCTCTTTTTTTGTGGCAAGCAAAATAACAGTGTTCATGACTTTCATGGCATATGTGCTGCTCGGAAATGTTATCTCTGCAAGTCGAGTGTTTGTTGCAGTGTCCCTGTATGGTGCAGTGAGACTGACAGTAACTCTGTTCTTCCCTGCGGCTGTTGAAAGAGTATCTGAGGCAGTGATTAGCATCCGACGAATCAAGGTAGGGTTATTGACCTGAAGAGTATTTCTTCTCTTACTCTAACTTTGTTTTAACATCACTGACAAATGCAGCCTTATTTTAGTTTTGCAGTTTGGGATTTTTAATGGGATAACGTGAGTTGGAAGCTGTGTTGCTGCGTATGCATGCACAAAACATGACGTGCACTATAGGGCAGGCCAGAATGTAGAAGAGTGTATATGGCAAGGAGGTATTGTAGACGTTTCTGAAGTAAGAGGAACATGTGGACAGATACTCAGATATTTGGGGGTTTGAAGAACAAAGCAGGCAGATGGGAGAGCTGTAGGATTCCTTTTTCTTGTACACTGCATTACCCTGTCATCTGTGGAGGACAGGTGTGAGCCCTAGCTCGTGTCTTGTGACTGCTTTCAGTACTGGAGTGAAGTCTCAGCTTCGATAAGGATGAAGATCAGCAATGCTGATATCTAGTATTAACAGAACAAGAGTGTGTTGTACACCTAGGAGTGCCGCATCCAAATGCTTGACTTCTCATTGCTCCCTGTAACAAGACTCGCTGGAGTCTGAGCAGTACCTCTGTGCCTTTTAACACCTAGCAGTACTCCTCCTGCCCTTCCGTGGCTCCTGGCGTTCTCCTCCTGCCTCCTCTTAGTTACTCAGTGCTGTAAGTCTTCAGCAGCTATCTCACGCCTGCAAACTGTTAGCTAAGTACTTGTTAACTAGTGTTGGCTTCTAAGATCAAGACCTTCCTTACCTTCTGAAAATACTGTGTGCTGGTGCCTGTTTAAGGTCTTTATGTTCTGTGATTCAGAGCATGTTAGATTTTTTTGGGTTTTGTCTTAAAATTATGGTAACTGTTATCCTTGGAACTTTTCTCTGGAATTTGCCTCTTTCCTTTCTAAATTTGTTTGACATATTTATAATCTAGCATCAGGCATGGTGTGCTAGAGGTGTTGCTGTGGTACAAAGTGCCTACTCGAAGGAAAGGTTTCTCTGATTGGGTTATAATGTAGAACTTCAGTAGCGAAAGTGTAATAAACCAGTAATGCAGATATAAGCAATTATTTTTATTAATGCCCAGGACTTCGAAAGGAGGAGAGGTTCAGATAGTGTTCTGTCTTCTTTTTGTCACATGAAGAATACTTAATAGGCTCTGTGGACAGCTGCTTACTGTGTCCTTCTCATTCATCCAGTGAAATAATAAGTATTTGCTTTCAGAGCAGGTATTGCAGTGGTGATTTCACCTCTTCTGATTGGAAAGAGGGAGTTAAACAATCTTAAGACTTGTCAGTGTTTCAAGGCAAAGATAGGTTCTTAAAGTCCATTTCCTTCTGGAATTCTTTACTGAGCAGGTGATTGCTGAGCATTTTGGAGGGGGAGAGCTAGATAGATGGGGTACACTGTTACAGTCGTGCATTGCTTTGGAAATGAAATTTCTTGATCAGTTTGTGGTTGTTTTTTCCAGTGCCATAATTAATGTTCTGTAGGCTGCTATCAAAAAACGTGGTTGGGTTCCTTTCCCATTCTTGGTCTCACATTAGGCAATTATCCTGTGCTTTTATTGCAGAACTTCCTGATGCTTGATGAGGTCTCGCACTTCAAGCCACAACTGCATAGTGATAATGAGAATATCATTCTTCACGTTCAGGATTTGACTTGCTACTGGGACAAGGTAAATCTAAATCTACTTCTAGTAAATGTAAAGTGTATTTGTGCTGCAGGTGTTTGAAATCTAAAGTGCAGTGTGTCTGTGGTTTGTATTCTGTCCTTTGTATACTGTCTTTTCAGTACATTAAGCTAACTCTGTAGATTAGCACTGAGAACACTATCAAGGGAATCTTTAAAGTAGCTATTCCTGAGTATTATACTAAGTGAAAAACTGTGTGTTTCTACGTAAAAATCTCTTTTGTTATTAAACAGCAGTGTATTTTGGCAAGATACTAAAATTGGACTCAAGGACAGGCAGCAAAGTAAGGTGGGCCTTATGTGGGTTTTTTTTCTACGAACTGAGTGCTTTATCAGTCCATTAGTTTAGAACAGGTACAGTATACTTGTTTATATATATATATATATATATGCTTATATATATATATATATATGTTTATATGTATATATATATATATTTATATTTATATTTATATATATATTTGTTACTCCGTATTTTAGTTGAGACTGTTCAGCTACAAATTTTTCTCTGCTTAAAGTGCACCAAACCCACCAAAATTACTAGAAAAAGAGATGATACACAGGTGATAAATTTATTATGTATTTTTTTTGTGTGAGAAAGGTGGGGGTTGTCTATTTCAAAACTGCAATTGCTATGCTAAGCAGCAATTTGTTGTGAATTGCTGGAGCTATTACAACCTGCCAGCATCCTTGCAAATGGGAGGGTTCAGTCTCCATTACAAATGCTGGAAGCTCTAAAAATGAGTTTTGCATATAAAAGTAATGCAAATAAGACATGTCATGTATTTCCTTTTTTATACCCTCATTCCCTACCTCTGCTGTGTCCCAAGGATGATCAGATGTGAAAACATATCTAAGAATCTACCTACTACTACTCAGCTGCAAAAGAAAATAGTTCCATTTTTTACTTTCTCAGTTCTCTGTTACATCAATATTTCTGAGACATTGACCAAATTTTTAAAATTTTTAAAAATTACTTGATATGAAAGACTTGATTGTGAATACATTCTAATGCAAAATTAAATCCATTTCTTAATCCTTGTTCTCTTCCCAAACTGACTTTGGGAATTTGTTAACCACTGTTTAACAATTTATAGGAAATGGTTGCATAACGTTCCCATAAAACACCTTTTTTTTTTTTTTTAATGAGTCGTTTGTATTGCGTAAAGCAGGGCAGCATGACTGGAATTACTGGTTTCCTTTCAATATAAAAAAAGCCCCAAACCAACAAGCCATCCACAAAACTGTTAATGTAATTTTCATTATGATATTTAATTGCAGTATGCATGGGAGAAAAATAGTTCTCTCAGAACTGTTCAGATCTGCTCAGGGAGTTTATCTTATATACTCTTACAGTGATACAAAATAATTTTATAGAACTGCTCACTGAAAAGATGATAAGTTCAGATATAGATGAGTTGTAAGAGGAATAATAGAAATAGGCTATCCTATGTCGAGTAACCAGCTTAGCTTGCTGCTCTGACTAGGTTTCTCAAGACGCTTGAGAAACAAATGCAAACACTGTACAGATAGATTTTTAAAGATTGTGTGCCAGAAGAGCTACTAAAAAACCCCAAACCAACAACCAATCCACAAATCCAAAATCACTTGAAGTAAAAAAGGGGTTATTGGCAAGACTTTTAGGAAAACAACCTAACATGGTGTATTACAATTTCTCAAGAGATAAACAAAACCAATTAATTCCTGGTCACACTCTTTTTGTACTAAGGCAAGTGTTACCTTGAGTACCACAGGCTAGGATGTGCCTTGAGTTTACAGAACAGTCTTGTCTGCTCAACTGAGCAACTTCAGATTTAAATTTTCGGCATTTGAACAGAGGCCAAATTTATCCCACATAATTTTAGTCCTTATGTGAGGAGCCTAAATAGTGTAGTACTTCTGTGCAATATATGATCTCTGTATCCCTGAGATGGGCAGAATTATTTCATTCTCTTGGCTTTAGGACATGTAAGGCCTGCCCAAACTCATCTGAGGAGCTGCAACCCCTGAAGGGATCATTCTTGTGGTCTTTTGTCCTCCCCTGTGCTGGTTATTACGTATGACCTTGTGGTGAACCAGGTCGGAGGGATAAAGCAATAGAAAATGAATCACTTTTAATGAGATCTGTTTTCTGATAGCTGAGTCCCATGAACAATCTGTCTTCAAGGTTAGGAAAAAACAAGTGGCAGAAGAAGGAAAGTTAAAGACACAGCAAGCTGACAGGGCACGGGGGAGGTGGGGCATTTGTGGTAAGGAGCTGTCAGGTGAACTTAGCTGTAATATTAGTCTGTGCTCTAATTGAAGTGCCTCCGTTTAGTGCCTAGAAATAGGTGTGATTAATTCAGGACAAATTGTCTTTAATTATAAAGAATGCTATTTTGCAAAAATACCATTCCCCTTAGGTGTGTTTGCTTGCATTACTACTTTCGTGTAGGCTCTGTGATATCTTACAATACTGCTTTAATATACAGTATGTTGGTAATAGTTTAAAAACTTCGTTAAAATTTTCTGTAATGTTTTTAGGCTCTTATGCTACGTTTCTTAAAAATCTGAAGTTGGAGGGAAGTCTCTACACTTTTGTGCTTTCAGAAGCACAAACTCAAGGGATCTGAAAGGAGGCCTGTGTGTCTGAAAGCTTATTTACTTTCTCCATATAGATGTTCATTTAATAAGAGATATTTCCTACAAACTCTCTATTTAAAAAAAAATAATCCTTGACTTCCATAAGTTGGTAGAGTTCCCCTGACTTTAGCACTAGCTGAGCACCTTGGCTGTGTACTCTGGACTGGGGAATCAAATTCGTGGTAAAATGCTGATTGGGGGAGTGGGGTTGTGTGGAGGAAAGGAAAAAAGTCCCGTTGATGCCACCTTGTGGAAGTTAATAATGGCAACGAAAGGAGTATTGCAGAGTTGCACAACTCACATGAGTTCAGATTCTCACAGTGTCACCGATTTCATGTGAACCCTGTGGTGCTTCTGTGAGGTGGGAATTGTGAGCTCTGGGTGCGGTGCTATCTGGCTGAGTATTTCTCCTGGCATGAGTGAGCACATGTGTGCTAGCCCAGTTCTCCCAGCTGTCATAGATGTGGATGGATACTTTATTTCTGTCTTTCCCAAATAATTTGAAACAAATTGCAGGCTTCTTCTTTTTGCACTCCTAGTACTTGGTCTTGTGGCATCTTTTGTGCAGGGTTAGGTGGTGGCCTCTTCTTCCACTTGAACTTCAAAGGTGGCTGGAGATTTTAAGGTATTCTTCACCTTGCTCTTCTGTTTTTGGAGCTTAAGACAGGGTTTTCATTTGATCCATTGATAGAAGTACTTGTTTGGGTTTTTTTAAATGCATATATTTTATTGTTTGCATTTCAGTGTCGATCATGCTTAGTGCAGGCTAACGTGTGTGTAAAGACAGATTCTGTTACGAGGGTGTTTAGCTTTAGTGAGAGGGAGCTGCACCAGGTCCCTAGAAATTGCAGTTTAGCATAGCTATTAAAGACATGAACATCCTTTCTTTTCAGAAGTAGATGGTTTTACAGCCTTGATGGAAGAGGTGCAAAATATGTTAGGAAATAAGCTCTTATCAGTAGTGTAACATAAAGGATAGGCATACTAAAAAGGAGCATTAAACAAACAATCCTAAGGTAGGATATTTTCATACAAATAGCCCATTACATTTTCCGTGAAAAGTCTGTGAGAATACACAGTATACAAGATGAGGTTCTGTAAAATCAAATGACATTTTTCTGTTTTCACTTTGGATAGATAGAGCCTTTACTAGAGGAAACACAAATCTGGCTTTCCTGAGGCTCTGAGGGAGCTTCAACCCTCCCTTTTTCGACCATTTGTCCTACTTGGGAGTTGCTGAGTGTGTCATACTGTGGCCGTGAATGCCGGTGTGGTGGCCTGCAAAGAGCTCCTGTTCCCGAGGCTGCCGCCCCAGCCTTCTGCTGAGCTGCAGCCAGGATACTGGGGCTCTGAGGAAGCTGCCTTTGGATTCCTTATTCCTTGAAAGCTGTTTCATCTCTGTTACTTGTTTGTGGTGAAGGATGAGGGGCTTTCAAAAGTGTTAATTAATGAATTACTGAAGAGGCAAACTGTATGCCTGAAAATATGGTGGTCATATGAGTTGCTAGTTTGTAGTGATTTATGTATATAGTTTTCTGTTTCTAAATACTTACTTTGATGGTGTAAATTTCTTTACTGAGGAGGCCTGACTTTTTCTCAAATCCACAGAGTTTAGAAACACCAGCACTTCAGCAAATTTCGTTTACTGTCCGACGAGGGGAATTATTGGCTGTGATTGGACCTGTAGGAGCTGGAAAAGTAAGTCTTAATGTTTACCCCGTTCTGTAATGCTTTTATGAGTCTTTTAAATGTGAAAACTAGAAACTTAAAACTGTACACTTCCTTTCTGTGTATAAAAACACACTTCACATCAAGATACTGGTATTCAAGAAAGGCTGATGTCCTTCGGGGAAGGGTGTTTAAAGTTAGGCAGTACTTTGTATGTTGCTCATACACTGCATCTAGAGGTTTACTAGTGGTTTTCTACTGTTAGCAGTAGTTTGAGTGACAAAGTGAAATATGCCATCATGCCAGTAAACGCTGCTCAATCTCCTGATGTCTTTAATAATGTCTTTAATGCAACTAAACTTTTTAATTTTTTTTCCAATGTTTTCTAGTCTTCTCTCTTAAGTGCTGTGCTTGGTGAGCTGCCTAAAGACAAAGGTTTGATAAATGTTACAGGAAGAATTGCCTATGTTTCTCAGCAGCCTTGGGTGTTTTCTGGCACAGTAAGAAGTAATATACTGTTTGATAAGGAATATGAGAAAGAAAAATACGAAAAAGTTTTAAAAGTCTGTGCTCTTAAAAAGGTAAGGCTTTTCTCTTTGTGTGTTTTATTTCCATATTCGCTATTTTTATCATATTGTTCTGTTAGACTTGTGGTACATGCTGCAATATGTAATGTATAGAATTGATTATTAGTAGTAGCATGTGAAGTAAGTCCTGTTGCTTAACAGAAATAATGTATAATTATTTTTGCCATCCCTGTGTAAGCACCTTCTTGTAATTCCTAAAACTTCCACTAGGGGGAGGTGTAGCTTATGTGAAGCACAGACACATTTTTTGGAAAAGCTATTCCCTATTATTTAATTTCATAATTGCATTTTAGCCCTTTTTTACGCCTGTTATGGTAGGGGTGTGGGCAAATGCAATAAGAGGCAGAAAAAAAAATGATCAAGCTAGCACTCTTTGTGACTTCCATTTTGTATGTATCCTATATGGTTTTCTTTAAAGTAGATGTCGTGTATTGTGTTATGTGTTGCTGACAGCTATCAGAAGAACCCTAGGGCTATATATTGGAGAAGTTGCTGAACCCAAGTAGTTCTATGAAAAATATTTTTGAAAGGTCTGTGCGCAAAGGAGTTTGTGACATGAGATATAGAAGAGGATTAAGCCAGATTTGTCAAGAAACAGATGCTTTGCTTGGCAGCTAAAAAGGTTTTATGCAGCATGTTACGATATTCCTGTCAACAGCGACACAGGTGAAAAGCAGATGGTTGCTGTAATGAGCATTTTTTGCAAGGTTTTTACGCGTGGCAGATAGTTTTAATATCTCCTGCTGAGATCAGTCATATGCTGTTGTATAAACTTAAGGTTTTAATGATTTTAAAAGACAGCAAACTGCATTAAAAAAATCCACACTTTAGATTTGCTTTCATATTTTTCTTGCAAATTTATCTATCTTACAAAAGCTTTGAATAAACTTTAAGAATATGTGTTATAGCTTAATATAAAACTTCGGCATTTCCTCAATAGGAAATAAAATGTTTTGACATGGAACATTGTACAATTTTTTTGTCTTATTCATAGTCGCAACCCCAAAATTAACCAAATCTGTGGTGAATATTGTTGTTTCTGTTGAATGCGTTGCAGTAAGAATAAAAGTAATGCAGGTTTTACGGACATTGGCAAGCTGACTTACTGATAGTAGTTCAGTTTTTTATTTCTTGTGACAGCTCGTTTTTTACTACTAAAAAATTAATTATTTACTGTTAGACATTTTAGTGTTTTGTTTGATTTTCTGAATCCCCAAATATTCCTTGTAATACTAAGAATAGTAGTGCACTTTCCTCTGTAGAAAATGTGAACTTCAGGATCTCATCCATTTTTTCCGCTTTCTTAGTTACCTTTTGCTGAAAGTACAGAGTCATAAAGTAACTGCAGATGTATCATTTAGTATGAAACCTTGTATTTTAAGGTGAGATCTTAATACCTTTAAAATAAGAAAATGTTGTGTTGATGCAGCTTTGTTGGTCTTTGAAGTTAAAATTATTTAGAAAAGAAAAATTGCTATCTTGTTATTTCATGTTCACAGGACTTGGAATTATTAGCAAATGGTGACCTAACAGTAATAGGAGATCGTGGAGCTACTCTGAGTGGGGGACAGAAGGCCCGTGTAAACCTGGCCAGGCGAGTGGTTTTTTTATTGTTTCTAAAAACTGCCAGATATCAGTGACTAAAGTAAACTAATGTAAGACTGTGATACTGACATTTCTTTATACATTTTAGAGCTGTGTATCAAGATGCAGACATCTATCTTTTGGATGATCCACTGAGTGCAGTAGATGCTGAAGTTGGAAGACATTTGTTTGAAAAGTATGGTACTGCTTTATTTTAATTTACAATGCGAATGTTATATTATAATTACTTATAGAAAAACTTGAGAAAGCATTTCTGGGGAGATGGATTTCCTCACAAAACTTAATACATTCACTTCCTGCATTTCTTTTTCCTCTCTTTTACGTAATTGAAAGATTTTCCCCCACTACGTGTCTTTGGTTTGTTCTTTATTTTCAAAAGCCCTCTAAAAATCTGTTCTGTAGATATTATATCTAGAATTATTCTTAAGGGAATATATGCCATTTTCGTAAGGAAAATGTCAGATTTCATACTTGATGATTGGGGTTTATGAATAATGGGTTTTATTAATATTAGTACTGAGTGAAGAATGATATGGGTGTCGTGGTTTTGCTCTGGGTCAATTTGCTTTCCACCCCCCCCCCCCAATTACTACTAGTTGAGAAAAGGTTTTTTGCAGACAAAAGAGAGACAGGATTTGGGGAAGATAGTATAAACATTTATTACTAGTAAAACAAAAACTACTAATAAATTAAAAACTAAAGAACTATATCTACAACAATTTCTACTCAAGTTGAAGTGCTATATATTTACAGAAATACTTCTTCCCCTTTTATACTAGTCCAAGGAGAAGAAGTAGTCTCATTCTCTATTTTCGGAGTTTCAGCTCTCTCTCTCTAGTAATAGATCTTCAGTAGCAGCAGTATTCTCGTTGCAGCTGGAACTTTTTCTCTCCCTTTCTCGCTCTGTGTTGGCTTCCAGGGCTGGGCTTACTCCCCTCCTGGGCTAAGACTGAAGGCTGGGGGTTACCCAGGTCCCGAAGGGTCTTCCTTCCATAGGCTTGCAAGGGGACACTTGCTTACTATGGATCTTCTTCCACAGGGTTACAGGGGATAATGGCTTAAGAGTTCACCCCTGTTTCCCTATGGAGGTCCCTCCCCATGGGAGAACAGTCCTTGATAGACTTCTCGGCATGGGTCTAGCACAGATCCACACACACACGGATCCCAACATCTCACATGGGCTGTCTCGCTCCAGCACGAGATTTCTCAGGGTAACAAAATCTTCAACAGCAGTATGGATCCACACACACACGGATCCCAGTATCCCACCTGAGTCGTCACTGCTCCAGCACAGGTTTCCCTTGGGGTCACAAATCTCCACCAGGACTCTGCCTCACTTCAGTCCTTCTCATGAAGTCTCGGTTCTCTTTGGTACATCTACAGACTCCTCTATCAGCCACATGGGGGGTCTCCTTACTCCAGCAAACTTTTACAGGTGACAGGGATTTATTTTCAGTCTTTTCCCTGCTGAGGAGAGAGAGCGAAAAAGGGGGGAGGGAAACAAGCCCCCCCTTTCGCACTTTACTTTTCTTGCTGCAGCTTCAGCTGCCAGCTTCGACCTTGGAAGCTCCGTTATCTTTCGGCTGGAATTCTTCCACAGCGGTTTCTGTCCAAGCAGTTCGTCTTTTAAACTTATTTTTCTTCACTCTCTTACAAGAGAGAAGGGAGGACTTCAGTGCTACACCTGCTCCCCCCACCCCGGCCCAAGCCGGGGGAGGAGGGAGTCCGGCCCTGCTCTGGCCTGCTACTCCTCTCCCCTACATGGCTGCTGCCCCTAATTTCAACTGCGCCAACAACCTTCTCTTCCGTTTTCTTAAAGATGTAATTAGCCAAGGCGTCACTGGACTTTTGATTGGCCTTTTTGTCTGGAATTTACCTGGACAAAACCATCCTCAGCCCCAGGGATGGGCTGGTGGGCAAAACCACAACATATGGGGTGGGATTTTAAATCACTTCGTAGTTTCTTACACTTTACTTGCTAGTAATAAGCACTTAATTTGAGTGGCTAAAGCAAAGGACAGAACTGTATTAGATTCTTAAATGATTTTTTGTTTTGGTTCCTCCTGAATGGTTGAAATTTCTCTTGGATAGGTGAAACAGGGAACATGGTCTGCAGAGTAGATTACAGAAAGCAGAAATAGAGGAAAAGAAAATGCGTAAGTTTACCGTGTAGGAGAGGGATATTGGACCTTCCTCTATTCCCCCAAAAGTAGGAGAGTGTTCATTAATGTCAGGTTCCCTTCTCAATGAATTTCCTCCTCTCCATCTCTCTGAAACTTGCTAATCTACGGCTCATAGTGAGTATGTGAATAATACAGTTAGTCTCAGCCAGTTTTTTGTCCTTGCTTCTTCATAGCCTGCAACTCTCTGTATTAAAAGGCATAATCTAGAATTTATTAGAAATAGAAGAAAAACCTTCCGTTGATGGAATTCACTGGGCTTTGGTTGAGGCCTTCAATGAGAACATTTTCTTAATCATACTTGCATCCTTTGAATTCCGTGCTCCAAGTACATGAATTAATTTGGTTTTATTGTAGTTCCCTCCTGTCCACACCTAGACAATCATAAAAACTTATCTTGCAGAAATGGGCATAGAAATTGCATTGAGTAGCATGGGTGTGTATGTCCCTTTGTCCCCATAAGGGGAAGCAATTAGTATCTAAATTTGAAAATTGTACATCCTGTTGATGTTTTCAGTTTCTAATCTCTGAACCCCCATCATCAGTTTGTTTCATTTTATTGATGTTTTCAAATGTTTGTTTCCATAAGCTAGTATGGAGTAAGAGATTTATGATGCATAGGTTTTATGTAATTTTTCACCTGCCATGACTGATAGATGGAGTTCATTATTTTTGTAGTTCACATACGCTATCCAGTTCCTTTAATGCCTATTGAAGCTCTCTAGGTTTTAGCTGCTGGTTTTCTGTTTCTGTACAAGATCTCTCCACAACTCCAGCGTCTGACTGTATCAGTGGTTGAGTTCTGAAAAGTGCACCCACCTGAGCTGTTAACCTGTCTCTCCCTGAAGTCTTAAGGTCTTTTCATGAAGAGGATAACAGGGGAAAAGTACAGTGGTGCCTTGCAAAGGAGTTCAGGCTGCCTCTTAACTTACTCTACATTTTACGTGAGCTGTGACATTGGCAGCACTACATCCTACTGCAAAACTGGAAGCTAGAAGCCAATGCTCTGTGAGCACAGTGTGTGTTTTGCTGATAAATGTGTGGAGGTGAGGAGGAATACGGAGGTTATCTCAGAGAACTTGAAACTCAGAGAACCAGCTGGGGTTGTTCCTGTACTTTCTTTTATTCTCCTCAACTGTAGATCAGTTGGAGCAAAACACATAAAAGTAGAATGAAAGCATTTTTTAGAAAATGGACTGGGTGGAGTAGTAGTAGGAAGGAAAACCGAGCAATGCCTCCTTGTGCAAGATTTTAAAAGAGTGTTTTTTTTACAAACAGGAGTTGTCTTCTGAGGCCTTCATGGAAGCTATAAAAGGTGCTGGGGGTAGTGGGGAGAGTGTTATGTTCAGTAGCTTGCTTTGAAAAACAATGCAGAACTTGTTCTTTAATGCTTCCTGAATAGTGCTAGAAATGTGGAGAAGACAGAGCACTTGGGCAAGAATGATTTCTTAGAACATGGTGCTGAGGAATGTCTCAGACACCACTTCATGCAGGCTATCCCCCCAGGAGTCCAAACCATGAGGCTTGAAACAATAGACAAGATGGAAGAAGCAGGATTTTTTAAATGAGAATCTGAAGTGGATATTGTTCAGTAGACTCGCTCTGTTTTTTCTCTTGTAATTTTATAATAATATTTAATTTTTTTGCAAGTGTCTAGCCTGTATTTACATCAAAGATAGGTATGTTCCCAGAGCTATGGTCTGTGGATAGCTGGTTTAGTATATTTGCTGCTTTTTCCCATCCTGTTTGGCTTCTGTAGTAAACAGTTTAAAATATATAAATACTTTTCAAATGAGAAAGAATGCAAGTAGCACATTGCCAGTGGGAAACAGTCCACGATATTATTAATAAGGGATTGTGGCTCTTATGAATTTCTTCATGGTACAGTCAAGTTGTTCTGTGGATGATGGAGCAGATCAAGCCAGTTTTTCAATGAATTCCTCTTTCCTGATCAGGTTCCTTGGGGACTAGAAAGGTATGAACTGAAGATTTTCTATTTTCATGTATTTCTATTTCTGTGTTATTTGTAGCCTTTTTCCTCTGAGTTGTTTTGGTAGTTAACAGTAGGCCTTTTTCCAATAGGGCTGTGCCAGTATAGTTTTATGGTTTTTCACATATTTGTAGGTATATATGAAAACATGCCTTTATATTTATATATATATATATATATTTAAATAAAAATAGCTTTTAATAACTTTTAAGAAATGCAGTATTTTGAGACGTCTAGTTTTGAAAAGAGGGACAACCATTATGATGCAAGAGCACATTTGCTTGTATGATGCAGTTTGGAATAGCCTGTGATTTCTGAGAAAATCATTCAGTTGCACTTGGATCCCAAGAAATTTTCTATTCTACCTGTTTATAAACATATTTCTGTAGACTATATGGTTTCAGATCGTGGTTATAGATTTATATAATAATTTATATAAATCTTTATATATATAAAATATAATTTATATATATATATAATTTATATAGAAATTAAATTATGTCCCTTCAGAACATGGAAACCATGTTCTTAAGAGTGAGATTTATATTTCATTGTCTGTTGAGACGTGTTCATTTCTAGGTGTTGTTCCTTGCCTTGGATCTTTTCCAGTAACAGGAGCGGTCTCAGTTGATGATCAGCCTGATTTCTTTCTGTTCCTCCTCTGTGCTTATGAGAGTAGAGGGAGTTACAGGACAGTTCAGGAATCTTTTAAAATTAGATCTAAAGTTCCGATGATTCTCTGGAACTAGATCAAAGCTGCAGAAGACATGACTGCATTTATCACAGCGTGGTAATGAACTTAAGCATCTATTCAGATGGAATGCTTTGGAACCAGCTAGTGGCCTTCAGTAGGAACTCAATGGACATGCAGCTGGGTAGTGGGGCATGGGATAACCATATACGGAGGCTGAGCAGAGAGTCACCTGGTGAGTTGGCCAGATGTCCTGAAAGATAAAGTCTCTCCCATTGCTGTCTGAGGTAACTGAGTGTTCCTCTTCGAGAGGG